AGAATCCGAAAAAAAAAAAAAAATTTTGATAAAAGATTTTGGTTAACCCGCCCAGCACTATTACAATGCATTGATGTTGATGCTAATAAATTTATAGTACAGTTATCATTCTTTGTGAGAAAGAGCCTTTAAATTCTAATTTTATTTTATTTGTCACAGACAATTGCAGTTTGGTGCAATGATATTTAATGTGCGGCAATTATTATGGCTCATCCAGTCAGTCTTTATGAATTGTGGCTCATCCAGTCATTTTATGAATTACATGTACTTATAAAAATCACACAAAATGTTCAGAAGTTAATTTTTCATTCTTGTGCATGAAAACCAGACATGTGCAGATTGACATGTCTGTGGAAAGGGGACAGGAGACTGAAGTGCCAAGCATTCGATAACATTCAAGCCCCAATAATTATTTTAAAATTCCTGAATTTTAGTTTAATTCAAACTTTTATACAATGATAAGAGAAGCTGCGCTAGGATGGGAAGAGCTCCTCTAGTACACCCCAAAACAGCCCTCATAATTTAAAGAATTTAATGATACATTTTGTGTTCATTCTAAAATGTCTTACTCTTAACTGAAAACTTTCGTATTTTTGACATTTAAGCAGAATGTGTGAATTTGTGATTAAAAAAGGTATTTTTGTCTCAACTTAGCATAAGCCTCTGTTTGCTCTCAATTTAAACTGACTTATATTAGATATTAAAGAGACTTCAATTGTGGTTATTCTTTCCAATTGTTTAAGGTTCACACTGGGGTCCGCTAGCACAATATGGGAGTTGAATTCAGACTGACTTGACAGTCCTTCACAATCACATCAAGCAGCTCCGAAAAGGACTTTGACAGCTTACACAACAGATCTATCAAACTACACTAAGCTGAGAGCACCAGTCTGCTGGTATTTGAGCAGCCTGTGATTTTCAACACTGCCCCTGTCAACACATCAAAAAACTTCTTGAGGCGCTGCCTCAACTTACTAGGAGTAAAAAAAAAAGAGAAAAAAATCTAAAACGACTAACCATGAAGTCATGCATGCACACTTTTGACAAAATAAGATCTCTTATGATCAGCAAGACTGGAAACTGTTGCACAAACAGGAAGTAACATGAGTAGGCCTCTCATTTCAACCACAGTTGGTGTAGATCAGTGGCACACTCTCTGCAATATGGAGCTTGTCACAAATTGTCTAAATGTGCTCACAAATTGGGTCTGAAAGTCAAATAAATTTAAACACAGAAGCACAATGGCGTAGTTCTGAACGGTTCCTCTTGAGGCTTGTTCTGAATCCAGCAGCTCTGTTGCACTCAGCAAGTTCTGCACAAGCCTAGGCCTGAACAACACATCTCGAGAAGGAAGTGAAAGGGCTGTCTTCATCAATAGACAGAGATCTTGTTTATCGAGGTCTGCCAGTTAATACACACAGCTTCCCTTTTACGGATCTCTCAGACATTGTGATATTTTGGCTGCTTCTCCAGTGACTGGCGTTGGGGGCTGCAGAAACTCTTGTTTATTTGTGTGGAAAAACAGGGTTAGCTCTTCAGATAGAACGAAACGTTTTTTTCCATTGCTATGAAAATCATTTCCACACTAGCTTTTATAGGCTATTTATCAACTCGGTGATGCACCATGACGTATGTCATCTACTGCACTCATCAATATGAGGCTAAAAAGCACTGCGGGAATTTTCCCAATCATTTTACAGTCCCCTAAACCATGTCAATGCAAAATGAGCTTTCAGAAAAAAAGCGTGTCATATCCGAAATCTCTCGAGGCTGCAATAAAATAGCAATAGACTTTCTCGAGCTGATGAAAGCATACCAGTTTGGCTATAAAGACATGAACAACACCATCATATAAAGCACTGGCTTTGTGAGTATGTGTAAAAGATTGATTTTTTAGAGCAAGGACATTGTGAGACAGTGCTACTTAATGATAAGACAAATGATTGAATGAGAGAGAGCAAGAGTGATGCACCATCACTTTAAATGCCAAAAGAGATATTTATGACAATTTAAATGCAATAAAATAGGGCAAAAATTTTAATTATTTTAATTTTTTTTCCACATTCTGGAATACTTTATTGTGATTGGTCAATTTAACTCTTTCAGCACTTAAATATTTCAGAACAATGTCCACAAGCTAATAAAATATGTTTCATGTCCATGCAGCACAAAAAGTAGGATAATGTACAGCCAATTGGTCATAATTCCAAAATAAACTTTTTTTTGTGATGATGTCAGACTGTCTGTACATTATCCCTTAAATAGCAAACATACAAGTATGTTGATTTGCTCATTCTGCTCAATTTTATTACCATTACATACAGTGGGTACGGAAAGTATTCAGACCCCCTTAAATTTTTCACTCTTTGTTATATTGCAGCCATTTGCTAAAATCATTTAAGTTAATTTTTTTTCCTCATTAATGTACACACAACACCCCATATTGACAGAAAAACACAGAATTGTTGACATTTTTGCAGATTTATTAAAAAAGAAAAACTGAAATATCAAATGGTCCTAAGTATTCAGACCCTTTGCTCAGTATTTAGTAGAAGCACCCTTTGCTGTGTGTACATTAATGAGGAAAAAAAAATTAACTTAAATGATTTTAGCAAATGGCTGCAATATAACAAAGAGTGAAAAATTTAAGGGGGTCTGAATACTTTCCGTACCCACTGTATTTGTTCATTCATATTTATACTTCTAAAGTGATAAAGGATGTCAGTAAGGTGTCTGTGGTGTCACAGGAGACAATCAGAACAGGATCTTAGTTTGGTCTTGCCGTTAAAAGAGGATGTGGTTGTATACGACTTTACCAAAAAAGTACATTGAACATGAGAGGATGGGCCTAATACTGTCTTTTAATCAGTGAGTTAAATAATGAACCAAATTATCTTCAAAGCCATATATATATATATATATATATATATACACACA